TCAGTACTTGTAAAAAGAAAAAAAGGGTTGCAAGACCCTCGCGAGAAGAGAAGGCTGAAACCTTCATTTATCAGTTTAATTTTAATTCGGGAGAAAGAGCTTGAGTTAAAACTTTTATTTCCTTATCAGTTAAGGAAGTTATGTATAAATTATTATTCTTTATTTTTAGGACACAACTGTCTAACTGTTGTGGAAGAAACGTGATCAAGACCATTGGAGGCTATTACCTTCGTCACGGATTCAAATATTAATCCAACAACGCCGATTCGATGTCTACGGCGTTCGAACTGCCAAAAAGAGAAGTAGCAGCAGATAAGAGGAATAAACCAGAAACAATATTAGAACGCTGAAAACTTCATCGATATCGGACGCCAAATCCCAAATACCGAACACGGCTAAGCCCGGCGTAAACTGCAACAGACACCAAAACTGAAAGACCGTCGACATAAAATTTTCAAATCATCCCAGAGCAAAACTTGATTAATCGAACTGAAAAATGGTCAAAAGCAGAAAACCGAAATCCCCAACGCCCTGCTTATCTACAGCTCTTTCATCGCCAGCCTCATTTATATGTTTACGAATTTTCTCTTATTATTTGTTTTTAGTATTTGGCATCTTAATAGCTTTATGCAAATTGACCAAATTGTTTGTAGTCCCCTCACCGCCGAGATGTAACTTTTTAATGATCACGGATAAATACAAATGCCCATCCATGAAATGAATTACTTTATCTGGTTGTCGACTGTCATTTTTTTTATCGACATTTCAAAGAAATTTGCATTCTACTAGATTTCGAGATACTTTCTACTGATTTCGAGCTTAGTTTTTCCGCGTCCACTTTTTTTAGTGCGTTTTTTTTTTCTGACTCGTGTACATGAGTCAAGAAAGAAGCCGGAACTGACTGCTATCATACTCAGTTTCCATTGCGAAAATAGGGAACTTAGTTTTGATAGGTTGTGGGAGGTTTGCCTTCATTGGGATGTCATTTAAGACTCGCTGAATGTTTTAAGTTTAAATTGCAAGTAAAAATATTAAGACATTTTGTTTGCTCTGTGTAATTTGGGATTCTTAAAGTTGCCATGGTAGCACGGATGTTTAAAGATAACACTAAAATTTCGCAAACCAAGCCACATAAACCTTTTCTTTAAGGTGTGCCTATGCTAAACTACAGTTAACTACACAACATACTAATTACATTAACAATAATAATACCGGCTAAACTGAAAAAAGGTTACAACCTTGAAAAAATTTTCCAAAAAAAAAAATTGAAATGTACTTTCTGTGTAAACAAAGGTTAACTGGTGGCTACCACTTTTCATTGTAGGTGCTGAGTGTGCTGCTCTTAACGGTATCTGAACAGTCAACCGATTTTTTATGATTTCGTGCAGTAATTTCTTGAGCCAAATAAAAGAAAAATTGTTGAAAAGCGTGATTCACAAGCTTGGTCTATTCTTACTTCCTTAGGTGCATACAGTTGTTTGAATTAACGTCGGATTTGAAGGCCTCAAGCCGGCACGTACGCGACAAGACCAAAATGTCATGAGGGTAGCTGTAAATCCCATAAAAATTTGTCTCAATCTCATGGTTGTCAACGCCACAGAATAGTGTAAAACCTAAAAAATTAGCCTTTACCTTAGTGTTTTTATGATGGAAGAATTGTGCTTCATGGCTTTGTTTGAGAATAATTTTTTTTAATGAAATTTCCCATATTGCCTCGCGGTCTCCTCACTTAGGCATTCCGACACAATCTCGTATCCAGATCTCTAGTGCGGATTCGTCAACAAGAGATCTGGGTACGAGATTAATTTTCACAACGTATAGATGGATTTCAGTCACGTGACCAGCAGCTATGCAAAAGTCTTTGGAGCAAAAGAAGTTTTTTACATGCGAAAACTCCCGCGGGACTGCTTTCACAGGAACAAAAATCTGGCCGCCTTTCCAATGTTTTGGGATGGGACACCATTGAGACGTCATGTGAAAACGCTTTATACAGCTCAAGAGACAGCAAATTAGTCGAGAGAACTGATGGTCTCTTGAGATTATCGAAGTTGATAATAAGGGAGCTTTGCAAGCCACTTAATCCTTTCTTGAATTGTAACTTCAGATTTTACCCAGGCTTTGATGTCACACGCATATTTTTGGTGAAGTAAACCTTACTTAGAAGTTCTTAATACTTACTTGCATTGTCTTACTTAACAACCAAGTGCTTAGTTGCCATGATAGGCTGTTAGTGAAAGCTGCAAAAAAGTTAAGATGAAAACAATGGAGTTGTAGTTGTAGTTGTGTTAGGAGTTCACTAATTGTGTTTGATTTTGATCCACACATTGTACCGGAATAGATTGAAGGGGCGTTTCTATTGCCAGTTCTCCCAGCCAGCAGAAACCTCTTTTCCTTGGTATTCAGCGGGTGGGAGAAAAAGAGACCCCTTTTCCTCCCGCCCGCTCAATAGCGGGGAAAAAAGGCCTCTGCAGCTCGGTTAGCAAGGAATTGGCCTGCTCTCTTGTTGAAAACGACGAGGAATCGATACCATTCAACATTGTGCACTGTCACTGAGTTCAAAGAGGGGGAACAAAAACAAGAGAAAAAAATAACAAAGAAAGCTGTCGGGCTTCGTAACCATTGCACTTTATTACAACACCTAGAGTAAAGATGATCACCCGCCGACCAAACTTTCTTCAAACAGCGTTATACTAAGTTTGATTGAGTTCCACCTCGACAGTGTTGGGTTCACCTCTGATAGACAGTACCACAAGAAGCAAACCAGAAAACAGGAACACGCCGGCAGCGATGGACATGCATACCATCACTGTGCACATTTTGCTTAGTGCATCAAAAACCTGGTAGGAAGAGCAAGTAAAAAAAGACCTTTAGCATACTTGTGCTTTTTGACTTCATTTCGCAAAGGGTAAGTGGTGTACGGGAGGTATATGTTTCGACCGTTCCGTTTACATCTTTGGTAGGTAGTTCGTATCAGCTACCCGGGGGGGGATAATGCCTGTGATGGCCTATACGGGCAGGCTCCGCCCGAGAGGGGCATCTTTTTTAGGCTTCAGGTATACGAAAGGGGAGGGATTTCACTAGGTGAAGTACATAAAAGACTAGGGAAATCTGTCATTTGGGTCGGTGAAAGGGCCCAAAGGGCGGAACAGATGAATTTTATGGCTTTAAAAAGTCGAGATAACGCTTTACTTTTCTGATTGGTTCCTGTTTAAAAGATAGTGCATTTACAGCAGTTAAAAGGGATGCAAAGTTCTAAACAAGATATGTGAAAGGGGTACCATTTGTCAATAGAAGGTATACGAAATGGGTACCTTTTTCGTGAAAAATGGTCGTTGAATACCATTTGTTGAGTACCCCCCCCCCCACCCCCGGGATAAGCTATCCCACTGACCAAGGAATAAAGCTTGAGAATAAACAGGACAGATAAGTTGGATCAAGTTGGAGTAATATACTTCTGTTTTGTTTTTAATTGAGGGGAAACTGAAGCTTATCCCAAAAAGATGAACTTCATGCAAACGTTTGATGCTTTTGAAACAATTTTTTGAACGTCAAAGCAAAAGCAAATGAAAATTAGGAAAATCAAAATCAAATGAGTTTAGTCATTTTTATGAGTTCTATTGTTTATACCTCAGATCTGAATAATCTTGCTTGTTTCTCATTGACGACCTGGGAGGTTTCGATCCAAAACAATGGAATAACTTTTTCGTAAAAAGGTGCATTGTCGTCCACGTAGCTTACATTATATGGTCTGGGCTGAAATTGACTCAATATCACGCCGCTATTGACTACCGCGCTGATCTGGAACCGAAAGACAGCTTGAAGGGCTGTTCCTGTGAATGGTTCAATATCGATCTGAAAACATGACAGGAAAAAAATGTTAGCAAAGACAAAGACAAGAGGCAAAAACCGCAAAAAACAAACAAACGAAGTGAATATTAACTATGTTTCATAATTTGAATTATAAGCTGTATGTTATGTTATGTTCCTGTAATCTAAGAATTTTTTTGCAAATTTCAGGTATTTGATAATTATGTAAATATATCCGAACGGTGGGTAAAAATTTTGACTCTGAACAAAGAATTATGTTATCAATTTTTTTCTCCTATTTGATGTATCAACTAAAATAACTCTTCCTTGTGTCTGTCAGTCACTCCCGGTGTTTAGATATCAGATGAATCACTCCGTTCTCGTGTTTGATATATTACTTCTCGGTGTTTGGATATCAGATGAATCACTCTTTCTCGTGTTTGATATATTACTTCTCGGTGTTTGGACATCAGATGAATCACTCTTTCTCGTGCTTGATATATTACTTTTCAGTGTTTGGATATCACATTAAACACCCTTGTGCATATGTAACAATTTCTCGGTGTTTGAACATCAAAGAAAACGTCTATCACGTCTATCACTACTCGGTGGTTAGTTATATCTTCTCAAGATGTGTGGATTTAAGTACTGAATTTTAAAACTATGAACGTAACGTGACAGAGCGGAAAAAGATCTCTTTAAATAAAGGAAGGTGAACACCGCGTTTGCCGTCTTCTCCTTTCTGCCGTCCTATTGCGTAAGCTCACTAATCACTCGTATGATTACAGACCGAATTAAACCTTACTCAAACCATTTTTTTATAACAGTAATTATCATTTCCGTTGCAGACGGAGAGATATTCGCTTTAGCAACGCCTAAGGTGTATTGGCGACCAACATGCAATCGGCAAACGTCAATCTGTATATTACAATTTTCCCTTTACTTGGCTTTCACTCTTTAATATATGTACCAAAATATTTCGCGAGTTTTATCCATAAAAATGAGTCTGTACAGTTTTCATCTGTTTTTTTTCTATGTTGAGAAATCGTCAGCTTGAATTTGACAGTTGCCGTTTGCCGTAAACGTGATTCGTAATCTCTCTAATGTCAATGCTAATTAAGCTGTGGGATCTGTGACCAAGGACAAGAAAATCATTGCTATGGTGACCAGAGTTGGTAATTTAAGAATTGCATCTATAAGGTGTTATTTTCTCTTACAAATGATCCATGCTTCTTCGGATCGGCTGCTGGAATTCCTATCTTCTTTCCCAGGCTCTGCGCGCCGTGTAAGAATCGAGGAAAACCAGTAAGGACTGGAAATCCGTAAATACCAGACATATCGAGAAGCCCGGATGTAAAAACAGTTCTGTTATTCCCTGTTACCAGGCTTTCCTCAAGTCGAAACCTGTGAAAAGGTTACATTGATATTGAAAAAAGGATTTAAAGTAATTTTTTTTTGTTATCAAAGGAACAGATGTGATGCAATTGAGTCACACACTTGCCCTCGTCTCTCACTTACTTGCAGCGCCAGTTTCGAAGATTCTATGCATCTTAGTTGAATTTGTTAACTTTTCTGCCCAAATTTTTAGAGTGGTTCCTTGGTTATATTTTCTCCTTCTACAAGAACAACTATTTACAAATTCTAATATGATCAAGAATTCCAAGCCTTACTGTTATTACACTAGCTAGTGCCTCACCTGTCCAACTTAAGCCGTCTTATCTTGACCTGTTTCTCCTGGACAAGTGTTCCCCGTCTCTTCAACTGCGGCATGAAAATCTCGTAACTCTTTGCCGCTGGCCTGTAGGCTTCACATGACCTAACTTTTTTCGCGGGAAAGAAAAGGGCCTGGTGACCATGTACCTTCAGCTCGTTCGCGGAGGCGCTTGGGTAAAATGATTGCCTCACTTGTGTTTCACCATTGTAGGCTGTAAAAAAATTGGTGGCATAGCCAAGTCAAGTACATTATTAGCGCGATAATGACGATAACGAATAATAATAATAATAATGATAGTGATAATAATAACGGTAATTTATATACTGTAAATTTCATATAGGAAAAATGCGCGCGTAGAGCACCATCAACAAGAGTATCTGGAGTATCTGGTGCCGGCTTCCGCGAATTTTCCGTTGTTAAGTGGACAAACGATGAATGTTCGTACGTCGGTCCTACTACCCACTATATCACCATAGTAAAAACTTACAAACTCAGACATACCAAGGGGTCATATTGGAATGCGATGCCGCCGTTTTTGATAGTGTGATATACGCCACTCATATCAAATAGAATTGACAACCCTAACCGGTCTAAATACCTCATCTCCACCTTTGGAAGCGTGTGTGGCCGAGTGGGTAACACCTCGAACTCCGGATCTGGATTTCCGGAGTTTGTCTGTCTTCACCCAGGTGTATTAATGGGTACCCGCAAACATACCGCTTTGGGGTAACCCTGCGATGGACTAGCGTCCCATCCAGGGGGGATTAGCAGTACTGCGAAACATGTTTCATGTTAACGAAACTGGGATAAGATTGGGGCGTTTGGGCCTTTGGCTCGTGTGCGCCTTTGCTAAAGTTATCACCTTTAGTGCACCAAACACGCTATAATAACCAACCTTCCTTGGTCATTACCTGCCCAGGTCGACTTCAGATGCTCTTCAGAAGAGGAGTTACATGAATGCAGGGTGTGGGAATCGCTTTTTTGAACAGCCTCACTGAAAGATGAGTGACTTACAAGTGCACCAAGGGAAGGGAGACCATTACGATAAGCCGGGGGATAACGGAACTTATCCATCACGTAGCCAAGTGCAAGCTCTCGTTGGTTTCTCGTCGTAACAAGACCGTAGTTGTTGTGGTTCATGAACCACAGCGTGTAGCTTCTCAGAGGGCCATTTATAAAGTCAAATAATGATTCGATGTCAGACCGGCCAGTCACCTTATAGCATGCGCTTGGATTGGAACAAAAAGCATCTTCTATCAGCCGCTCGGCTTCTGTGTGGTTAAACTTGGGACTGGTACCATTGGGGTGAAAGGAAAGGACAAAGTTAGCCATCCATATGAACAAGCCACAGCTTTGTAGGTGCGGTGTCTTTTCGCAGTCTGCCATGGCTGTCGTGTCTTTAGGCAGCCCTAGCAGAGTTGCATTGACAAGGACATTATAAAGTCCACCCATTTGTGTAACGCTATACTCTCGTCTTATTGGACGAATTTCAGTCCCAGAGAGCTCACTATATTTCCAGGATCCAAATTCTGGATTATATGAGTTGTTTAGCTGCAGCAGACTCGAGGTTTTTCCCAGTTGTTTCAGTGTTGCGTTTCGGTGTCCCAGTTTCAAATCCATGTCACGCAACAGGCTGTCAACTGCCACTGGGAGAAAAACTAGACTAAATAAGTCCGCTGTTTTAACTTGGTTGATCAGACCCAGGTAGGCCAAGTTAATGATGCTCACCTAACGAAAAACAAAAGAAAAATGTTAATGGTAAGGCATTTGTTCATAAAGTTATCTACAACATTCAATCCACCCATCCATCCATTTCACCTATTCATTCACAAAGAGTCCTTCCATCTATCCATCCATCCATCAGACCACATAGGTCTTCAATAAATCTCATCCCTTTATTCATTTCCAGTAGTACTTTCCTACCCATCCATTCCGATTAATCAATCTATCCTCATTGATAGCTGATAAATATATCTCTTCAAGGTTTCAGAGATCATTGCCCTCTTTCCCTTACGACGTCACATGACGTCAAATCTAATCAGCAGTTTCACTGTAATGTGTTTAAAATGTTGACGTCATTTCCACGGTATATAAGAGTCGATGAACCATTTTTGTCGATTTGTTTACCCAGAGTTTGTTTCTTTTTACAAACAATAGCTTGTGTGCATGTATTCCTCAGACCAGTAAATTTCACCACCAAAGTGCGTTTTGTAACTATAAACCTAAGAATTTTACTACATTTTATTTCTTACCTTGTCGTTTTCTTGACACGTTGCGCATAGGTTTGCTGTCATCTTTTTGTTGAATTTCTGTTGCTGGAAAGTTTTATATGTCACCTTTCCGGACGGATCGAAGGTAACATCAATCTTCCTTGAAAGTGTTGTGAAAACATAGGGACCTCTTTCGACGAGCTGTAATCAGGTAATTTCACAGATAAATGTTAGTCAACAATAATCACACCATTTCTTATGCCCTAAGTTTAAGGAAATCCAAAAACACGTATTGAACGTGTTTTCTTTTAATACTGTTTTGGTACCACTTGGTATTTTACACTATAGCCCTCATGTCTTAATCAATGAGCACTCAAGTTACTTTCTTGTGGTAGTACTTGATATACTGTACAAGATCGCTCTAAGGTTTACGTCTGTGGGTGCCTTGCATACTTTGGTTTTCACGACTGTTCCCATCTTATGACTACTCCATGTTATAGTATTTATTTCTTACCTTGTTGACTGATTATATTTCAAAATTGTGCAGTAAGCCCTCCAAAAAATTACCATCCAATCACGCGTGATATCTTTATAAGCAGAGTATGTGATGATTTTTCGCTGTCTGTATTTATATTTAATTTAATTTAAAGCTACCGAGCCAGCCATAGAACAAAGTACATTTACCAGTTAACTTTCAAGGCCACTTAAGGTAAATTTGATATGTTACCTTGGGTGTTTCTCTATTGTAAAGGAATCCTTCTTTGTTTATGATATGCCAGTAATAAATCTTTGTTAAACTCTCCGTAATATTGATCTGTATAAGCAAACAAAGAAACCTAAATGCAATTCGTGTAGCCTGGTTTCCAAGATGTCTCTTCTTCCCTCCCCAATGGAGTCAAAAGGAGGGGGAAAGAAGAGAAAAGACCTTCGAAACGACGTTGAGTGCTCGTAGCACCGTCGTCAAACTTACATTTAGTTACCGCTTGAGCCACTCGCAGTACGACCTTCAATGTAATGATAAATTGGGATCTCCCAGTAAATAAATGTATGTTAAGTACTATCAAGTGAGGGAAAACGAGGGAAATGATGTTTGTTATGATACTGTGTATTTGGGGGAGGGGCGGGCCACTGGGGATAAGTGTCTGACGGAAACGAAGTATTGATGCCGCCTTGACCGCACGATCGTTAGATGTTTCGTTATCCTGCGAGCAGAGGCCGACGGGCCGAAGGGCCGAAGGGCCTCTGCTCGCAGGGAACATGATCGTCGGTGTTGGACTAAACATAACAGATGGCGGCTCCGCTTTCCCCTCACCTCCCCCCTTCCCTTCCTCCTGGCCTTTCACCTAGATCTACTACTCTCAGGAGCTTATATCACTGTGTATAATGTTTAATCTTTAAATTAAACAATTAGTGGCCGGCATGACAGCTACAGACTCTTGTTCAGTCCTTACTCACCACTTTACAAACGAGCAGGAAGCTGGGCCGAGTTAACTTTCGCAAAGACTTCTGGGACTGTTATCAGGGACAGGGAAAAAAAATTAGCCAATAGCTGATCAGCGCGTCCCCAGTGACAATCCCAGAAACAATTGCGGGACGCATTTCGGTTCCAGTTCCTTTCCAGTGGCCGACTAATCATAAAATGACGTACCCATTGGTCATAATAAGCATCCTCCTTACTACTGACACACATTTCGTCAGTTATTCGTTTTTGTAATGCACGTGGAAGAACCAGGCTGAAAAGGAGTGCAAGACCCACGAAAGCTACACCAACCAACAGCAATGCAATCCCTGTCTTTCTCTTATCTCGCCAGGACATGACTCCTTACTGCTAAATAAAATGTATGACAGTCAACGTTATAATGCAGAAATATCATAAGGTAACTTTATGTGCAAGACCGTAGTACTCCCGTCGAAGCCTGTTTTCGAACTCGCTGCTAAGGTTACTAGAAGGCTTAATTAATCATTGATAAGAAAGAACAAACGAAATGTCTGTCTAAATTATTTGGATACGACTGAGTTGTTTGCCTAGATTTTCTTAAAAGAGAAGTAATTTAAAATGATAAAAACGCGAATTATTAGAAAATTGAATTTACCTTCAGAAAAATTTCAGTTCTTCAAGAAACACTCAGTTCCTTTTAAATCAAGTTTTTTAAAAACGCGATAAAACACTCGTGCTCGTGTTGTTGTTGTTGTTTTAGCATTGTTTCAACAAGGTGGAAAAAAAAAACTCACGCTTCAAAAGCTTCAACTCATAGGTACAGCGCATGAAGAATTCAGTGTGTGTGTGTGTGTGTGTGTGGTTTACAAATCTGCAGGCTGAGGAAAAACGTTTAATCTAGGGATATAGCTCTAAAATGGAAAACATGTATTAATTCAATTGAATGGACTCGTTCTTTGTCTCCACTTATTCGAAGAGAGCCAGCGTTAGCGGTTATAAACGCTCAAATGGTTTTAGTTGTGGACTGTTAAGAATTTGAAAATTTTCTTACCGCGAAACGTCATAAAAATTGGTCAGTAACAGCTTATAATTTTCAAAATATTATGGTCTTTTTTTAACCTGGAATGGCCCTAATAAGAACTACGACCGTAAAAGTGCTTTTAAAATAGTTAAAAAAAAAATTTCTCAGATCTTTGCTTCAATTACCTGAAACACTGGGGACCTTGAAGTATAATCTAATGAACTAAAGGTTTGGTCGTTTGGAAAATATGTAATTTATTAGCTTTTGCTTGTTGCTGCAGTGCTCACGTGAAAGCGAAAAATATCTGCTCGCACGGAAAGCTATATCATCTGGATCCGTTCTCAAGGAAACGCCCCTAGCGCGGATAAAAAACATTGAACTGAAAAAACCGAAAGCATAAAGTGCTGAAAAATGCTCGAAATATGGTTATTTTCGTAAGCAAGGTTCTACGTAAACCTTTTCTTTAAGGTGTGCCTATGCTAAACTACAGTTAACTACACAACATACTAATTACATTAACAATAATAATACCGGCTAAACTGAAAAAAGGTTACAACCTTGAAAAAATTTTCCAAAAAAAAAATTGAAATGTACTTTCTGTGTAAACAAAGGTTAACTGGTGGCTACCACTTTTCATTGTAGGTGCTGAGTGTGCTGCTCTTAACGGCCGCCTGAACAGTCAACCGATTTTTTATGATTTCGTGCCGTAATTTCTTGAGCCAAATAAAAGAAAAATTGTTGAAAAGCGTAATTCACAAGCTTGGTCTATTCTTACTTCCTTAGGTGCATACAGTTGTTTGACAGTCGGTGAGACAGGTGCATACAGTTGTTTCGGATTTGAAGGCCTCAAGCCGGCACGTACGCGACAAGACCAAAATGTCATGAGGGTAGCTGTAAATCCCATAAAAATTTGTCTCAATCTCATGGTTGTCAACGCCACAGAATAGTGTAAAACCTAAAAAATTAGCCTTTACCTTAGTGTTTTTATGATGGAAGAATTGTGCTTCATGGCTTTGTTTGAGAATAATTTTTTTTAATGAAATTTCCCATATTGCCTCGCGGTCTCCTCACTTAGGCATTCCGACACAATCTTGTATCCAGATCTCTAGTGCGGATTCGTCAACAAGAGATCTGGGTACGAGATTAATTTTCACAACGTATAGATGGATTTCAGTCACGTGACCAGCAGCTATGCAAAAGTCTTTGGAGCAAAAGAAGTTTTTTACATGCGAAAACTCCCGCGGGACTGCTTTCACAGGAACAAAAATCTGGCCGCCTTTCCAATGTTTTGGGATGGGACACCATTGAGACGTCATGTGAAAACGCTTTATACAGCTCAAGAGACAGCAAATTAGTCGAGAGAACTGATGGTCTCTTGAGATTATCGAAGTTGATAATAAGGGAGCTTTGCAAGCCACTTAATCCTTTCTTGAATTGTAACTTCAGATTTTACCCAGGCTTTGATGTCACACGCATATTTTTGGTGAAGTAAACCTTACTTAGAAGTTCTTAATACTTACTTGCATTGTCTTACTTAACAACCAAGTGCTTAGTTGCCATGATAGGCTGTTAGTGAAAGCTGCAAAAAAGTTAAGATGAAAACAATGGAGTTGTAGTTGTAGTTGTGTTAGGAGTTCACTTATTGTGTTTGATTTTGATCCACACATTGTACCGGAATAGATTGAAGGGGCGTTTCTATTGCCAGTTCTCCCAGCCAGCAGAAACCTCTTTTCCTTGGTATTCAGCGGGTGGGAGAAAAAGAGACCCCTTTTCCTCCCGCCCGCTCAATAGCGGTGAAAAAAGGCCTCTGCAGCTCGGTTAGCAAGGAATTGGCCTGCTCTCTTGTTGAAAACGACGAGGAATCGATGCCATTCAACATTGTGCACTGTCACTGAGTTCAAAGAGGGGGAACAAAAACTAGAGAAAAAAATAACAAAGAAAGCTGTCGGGCTTCGTAACCATTGCACTTTATTACAACACCTAGAGTAAAGATGATCACCCGCCGACCAAACTTTCTTCAAACAGCGTTATACTAAGTTTGATTGAGTTCCACCTCGACAGTGTTGGGTTCACCTCTGATAGACAGTACCACAAGAAGCAAACCAGAAAACAGGAACACGCCGGCAGCGATGGACATGCATACCATCACTGTGCACATTTTGCTTAGTGCATCAAAAACCTGGTAGGAAGAGCAAGTAAAAAAAGACCTTTAGCATACTTGTGCTTTTTGGCTTCATTTCGCAAAGGGTAAGTGGTGTACGGGAGGTATATGTTTCGACCGTTCCGTTTACATCTTTGGTAGGTAGTTCGTATCAGCTACCGGGGGGGGGGGATAATGCCTGTGATGGCCTATACGGGCAGGCTCCGCCCGAGAGGGGCATCTTTTTTAGGCTTCAGGTATACGAAAGGGGAGGGATTTCGCTAGGTGAAGTACATAAAAGACTGGGGAAATCTGTCATTTGGGTCTGTGAAAGGGCCCAAAGGGCGGAACAGATGAATTTTATGGCTTTAAAAAGTCGAGATAACGCTTTACTTTTCTGATTGGTTCCTGTTTAAAAGAAAGTGCATTTACAGCAGTTAAAAGGGATGCAAAGTTCTAAACAAGATATGTGAAAGGGGTACCATTTGTCAATAGAAGGTATACGAAATGGGTACCTTTTTCGTGAAAAATGGTCGTTGAATACCATTTGTTGAGTACTTCCCCCTACCCACCCCCCCCCACACCACCCACCCTCCCCCAAAACAACCACAACAACAAACCCAAAAACAAAAATAGTAAAAAAACGAAAAAAGGAAGTGCGATTACGTGACTGTTATAGTTAAAG